GCCGTGCACCCCGCCCCGGCCTGGGTCGGGCCTCTGACCTGCTCGGTCACCTTGGGCCTGGCGCTGACCTTCCCTGGGCCTCCACTGCCCCCTCTGAGATAGGGGCACAGCACCCGCCTCCCGCATTCCATGGCTGGGATTGTGTATACAGTCGGCGCTGCATCATTGCAGGTTTCCCCCCATCAGGTGGTCCCTGGAGGCTCTTGCCCCAGTTACTTGCTTCTCCTTCCCCCCTGCTTTTCTCTGGGGAGGGGTCATCTCCGCGCTGGGGTGGGGGTAGGGGTGCTGTCAGGGGTGGCAGCCCAACCCCAGGGCACCCGTTCTCGGGGATCCCAGCGCGCGGGATGCCCTCGAGGGAATCGAACGTGGAACTTGGACTGTGGAGCTCGCAGCGTCCAGGGGCCATTGTCTGCGGCCGCGCGGATCGATACGGCGCGCCCTTGGGGTCAAATATCACTTCCAAAGTCGCTGTGGCTACGGAGGCGGCAGACGGAAGGAGGCTGGGGTGGCACGGGGCGGTCTTCTTCGAGTGAGGGGCCCAGCGGTGGGGGTGGGGGTGCGAGCTGGCCTTGCCCATCCCGGGGAACCCCTCTGGGCCCACTCGGAGCCTTGGGTCACCGGAAATCGCCACTGGAAGGCCGGCAGGGCCACCGGAATTGACTGAAACGTCCCCCTCCCCCAGGGGTGGGTGCAGACCTGGGGCTCCTGGAAAAATCCCTTAAACTTTGGGCGTCTCTGAGATGGGCAGGGAGTGAAACGTTTCCGAGCAGGATCGCTGGGCTGTCCCAGGTCGGAGACCTCTCTGGCAGGGCGTGGCCTTTCTAGCTGTTCTGGCGGAAGGTCCCCAGGGAAAGCGATCGGGGTTGTCCAGCTCGGGAGTTCTTTTCTCACCGTTCGCGGGCGAGCATCCGATCTGTCCGTTTATAAGCCCCTACTCTGCACCCCAGGAACATGCAGGGTGTCTGTAGAGCCGGTCTAGACGGTCTTATTTCCCAGCTGCACAAAACAGAGGCCCAAAGGCCCAGAAAGAGGTCCTGGTGCCTGCTTTGCGTTGGACATGGAGGGACCCTGCCCGAGTTGGGGCTTTGCAGGGGGGAACTGTGGGACCAGGTAGGGGACCGCTGAGTTCGGATCGGGGTGCCCCCAGGGAGAACGGCTGATGAAAGGCTTGTTGGCTGAGGCCACCAAATAGGGCCTCAGGTACCCGCGGGTGGAGTTTGACCCCAGGTCCCGGGTCAGGGCTGGCCTGGTGTGACCATGTGTGGCAGAGCTGCCTTGCTCCCTCCTCCAGCACAAACTGGGCCACTAGACTTTGGCCTCATTCTTGCTGCTGGAAAACCGCCTTGTCTCCCGTCATGTCTTTAGGGAGGGGAAGGGAGGGGGCTCAGGCAGTTTTGGGGTCCCAGGGGCTTCCTGAGGGTGGGGTCAGGGAGCACCAGTTTCGGCGGGGATTGGGGGGGCCTTGCTTGGAGCTGGCAGGTTTGTGCTGTGTGAGTTGTGTGACCTGGTGAAGTCACCATTCCATTCTGAGCTTCAGATGGATTTAGCAGGGTCTCGCTGGGGCCCATCCTGGGTGGTTTGATGCCAGCCCCTGCAGAGAGACCCCAGCTCCAAGTCTAGCTCCTGAGAAGCCCCCAGTCTGGAGGAGACACAATGAGACAGATGCCCCAAGCCTGCGGGATCTGGGGTCCCAGGGAGACAGCAGAGGCTCTGCCTGGAGGAGGCTAGGGGACATGAGCCTTGAAGCATGGAGTTGGCAGGTGGAAGAAAGGCCACAGGGGCATGCCAGTGTGTGGCCCAGACAAAACATTTAGTGGCAGACTGGGGGAGCTGTGCTGTAAGAGGGGACTGCGCAGCCATGGGAGAAATCATAGCCAGGTGGGCCTGAAATGCTGGCTGAGGGTGATGGGGAGCCTTGGAGGGTGTGTGAGCAGGGGAGGGCTCTGATCAAATTGGACTGGAGGTCAGAAGCTCAGGGAGGAAGCTGAGTTGGGCCATGGGGTTGGGCAAAAAAAGCATGCACTCTTTAGGTGGGATAACAGGAAGAACTTAACTGCTTCCCTCCTTGGAGGGACGGATCTGTCCCAATTCTACAGCTGGGGAAGTTGATACAGAAGGTTCAGGGCCTCGCCTGAGGTCAGGGGCCCCTGAGCCGGGCCTCTCCCTGCCTGCAGGGCCGCCCCAGGCCAGGCCGTTTCCACCCGGCTGCCCTGGATCCTCCCACCACCCTGCGGCTGGGCTTTGTTCTGGTTCTGCCTGAGCTCCCTCTGCCCTAGTGGGGCCTCTTCCCAGGGGCTCAGCGGCTGGTGCTGCGGGACCCAGGCAGTGGTTGGGGGTTAGGGGAGGATGGGGGTGTTGGGGAGATGGGCTCAGAGCCTCAGCTTTCCTAAGTTGGGTTCCTCGCCTGGGGTCTGGGTCTTAACACTGTCCCCCGTGAACCCCTCTGACCCAGTCCATCCCATATAGGGCAGTATCTGGCCTCCCATTTTCAGATGAGGAAACCAAGGCTCAGTGGGGCAGTCACCACCTGAGGGGTGGGGCTGGGTGTCTGCAGCTGAGATTCATCTGGTTTTTGTTTTGTTTTTGACACGGAGTTTCACTCTTGTTGCCCAGGCTGGAGTGTAGTGGTGCGATTTCGGCTCACTGCAACCTCTGCCTCCTGGGTTCAAGCGGTTCTCCTGCCTCAGCCTCCCAAATAGCTGGAATTACAGGCATGTGCCACCACGCCTGGCTAATTTTGTATTTTTAGTAGAGACGGGTTTTCTCTATGTTGTTCAGGCTGGTCTTAAACTCCCAACCTCAAGTGATCCGCCTGCCTCAACCTCCCAAAGTGCCGGGATTACAGGCGTGAGCCACCACATCTAGCCTTTTTTTTTTTTTTTTCTTTTTTTTTTGAGGCAGAGTCTCACTCTGTCACCCAGGCTGGAATGCAGTGGGTCAATCTTGGCTCACTGCAACCTCTACCTACCCAGTTCAAGCGATTCTCCTTCCTCAGCCTCCCAAGTAGCTGGGATTACAGGCATGCGCCACCACGCCCAGTTCATTTTTGTATTTTTAGTAGAGATGGGGTTTCACCATGTTGGCCAGGCTGGTCTTGAACTGACTTCAGGTGATCCACCCTCCTCCGCCTCCCAAAGTGCTGGGATTACAGGTGTGAGCTACCACAGAGATGCATCTGTTTAATTCCCTTAAGTGAGGGTTCTACTCTGTGACTGTCTCTGCGTATCCCCTGGGTGTCCCCAGCTGGGACCCCACAGGTAGTCGCTCTAGGCGCAGGCCTTGGAGAGCCCCCAGCTCCCGGTGGCAAGAGACCAGGGGAGTCCAAGGGAACGGGCCAAGGGGAGAAGGTTCTGGGGACATTTGAAGAATAAGGCCTGGACCTTCCTGCTTGGGGCTGACCCAGGACGGGGAACTCACCTCCTCCAGGGTGGGGCCACCTGTCTCATCCCTGCAAGAGGCAATGGTATTCACTGAGGGCTGACCAGGAGAATCTCGAGCTTGCATAGGGGTTGGGCGGTCCTCCCAGAACACGGCAGTGGGGCCTTCAGGGCAGAGGACCTGAGTGACTTTGTTTACTTACTCATTCATTGGTGTGGGCTTTGTGCGGGTGATAGTGCAGGGGCCCCACAGACCACTAGCCTCTGGTCTGACCCCTAGTTAACTCACAAAGCCTAGCTTTCTGACCATGTCGTCTCTGCCTTCACATCATTTTGGGGACAATGACCCTGCTCAGCCTGACAGTGACCAAATAAAATGAAACCCTTTAGGCCTCCATATTTGTGTATTTCAGCCCTTTTGCTCTGGCTATACTCTGTCTCTGGGATCACCCCTCCAGTCACCTGGAGAACTCCTATTCATCCTTCAAAACCCAGTGCCAATGTGCCCTCCCTGGGGTGCTCATCTGCTTTTCCACAGATTCCGCTTCATCCATCACCACCCATCCAGGTTATCCTGTCTGCTTTGCAGACCTGCAAGCTGAGCTCCTGTACCCCTTCGGGGCTACCTTCCCAGTCTAGAGGGCCCCTACTAGTATTTCTGAGGGGCAGTCTCCAAAGGCAGCTCATAGGCTGGTTGGGGGAGGAGGACATGGGGGTCTCAGGGAGCCCTGGCCTCTGTGTGCCCCCAGGTCTAACCGTGACTGCCAGATTGACCAGCACCACCGGAACCAGTGCCAGTACTGCCGTCTCAAGAAGTGCTTCCGGGTGGGCATGAGGAAGGAGGGTGAGTACGCACTGGGGACATACTGGGGACGATCACAGCAGCTAGGGCTGGGGTGAACAAACAGCTTCTTCCTCCCTTTTTCCCTCCCTTTCACAGGGGTCTAGGTGCCTGAGGGGGTGGGGCCCAGCGCCTGCTAACCTCATTACCACTGATCCCTTGATCCAGTGGGCTGTGGTCTGGCCCTAGGCTGGAGGAATCCAATTAGGATCCCTGGCCCCCTGGTTGCTGCCGTGGAGCTGAAGAGCCCAGGGACGCCCCACAAGGGACTTTCCCCAGCCCCATTCTCTTGCAGGAGCTCCCCTCCCCAGTTACCCCCGAGTCCGGCCTCAGAGGCCGGTTCCCTGGCCCTGACACCTTGGTGACCTCTTGTCTGCTAGCGTGGCCACTGCTTTCTGAACAAGGATGTGTGTGTGTGGTTTTTTTTTTTTTATTTGATTTGCTTCCCCTCCACCCTTCACCCATGCTTGTTGTTTGCCCAAGGCAGGAACTCTGCCTGATTAAGGCAAAGGGCAGCTTACCCTTTCTCCTGACCCGGGGCACTGGGAGCAAGAGTGAGGCCCAGCTGTCTCTGCTCAGGGAACCTGGGTGGATGGGCGTATTCTGGGCCAGTGGGCCTAGAACTCTGCCAAACCCCCTTAGAATTCAAGTAGAACCCAGAGATTTCCATATGGATTTCTGGGGTTCAGGAATAGAATCTAGCCTATTGGTGGCTCACGCCTGTAATCCCAGCACTTTGGGAGGCTGAGGAGGGCGGATCACGAGGTCAGGAGATC